AAAACATATCGATGTCGACAAGCTCACACATCATTACCAGACTGGATACCATCCGTTGTACCTGCACTTTGGTTGATGGTCTAATCTTGACTTTTTTACTATTATTTGATTATTTAATAAAAGTTCGTTAACACAGCTCCTTGGGAGCTAAAATGTGGAGCTCACATGTATTCTCTAGCCTCATTAAAATAATACAAAGGATATGTGAGTGTTGAGTCTACGTGTTGTGTGAAAATAAAAAGAAGACCAACACCCCACACTCAGCCAGATATTTGTAAAAAATGCGATCACCCACGATCACTCCCTAGTCAAGAGCTGATATCATGAGTAGAAAGAACTTGGAGAGCTGATTCTGCGATCACCTTAAATGATTGAAACATAAGAATGATTTCCAATGTACACTGTTTTTTTCAATCTACGATCGCCCATATCTTTTGATAGTGAGTATGCCTAATCTATTCGCTATATCGCATATTCTTTTGAATGAAGCAACTTTTGTACTGCTGCTTCATAGTAACCATATCTTGCTTCAAAAACTTGGATATATAGATTTTTGGCCATGTGAAATACGATGGTGCTACCAACTTCCCAGAAAACTCTGTGATTTCGCTCGAAATTCCTATAGATCGATCAAATTTGTACGTTGATGTAGCATCGACTTCACAAGTAAACAGGATGGCCACAATCAAGCTTAGACGATGAAACATGCATATTGATCTGGAATCGTCAGTTTGTTGTTTAATCTAGCTTCAGCTGGTTGGAATATGGATGACAATATAGCGATTCGAGTGGTGGGTCAAAAAATATTTCGCACCGCATTAAATATAGTAATGAAATGTCAGACTATATAAGAAGATAAATGAACGTTATCTAAGATAAGAACATGCATAATCATAATGATGAATATTGCAATTGTTAGCGATGATTCATCTTCAATCCTGCCCTTGATCTCTTTCTTTCTTGTTTAGTTACTGTTATTGTTGTTTCGTTTCTTCTTTCTTCTCTCTTCTCTATCTCTCATGTTATATATATGTACATTGATTTAAGGAGACATTTTATTCATATAAAATAAACGAAGTTAAAGCTCGTCGAAACGAGCTAACAGCAATGTTCTTAATTTTCTTGAAAATTTCAACATACATTCGATTTAATTATGAATAAAATGTTGTATATAAAAGAAACAATAGCATAATATCTATCATTACTTAAATGCTAATACTGTGATAACTTCCAAAAACAAGACAAAATGAATTTTCTGAGATAAAACTACGTACGTATAAATTAAATTTAATAATTTTTAAATTTATGTTTGCCTGACAAAACTTATCGAACAGTGTTATTTTATGTACAATTTAATTTTCGATATATTCTACAATTCGACTATTTTTAACAGATATAACATACACAGAATTCTGCATTCTGATTTTCATAATCTTTCTGGTTTGACATATGGGATAGATCCGAAAATTCTTCAAAATTAAATTTATTAAAAAAACTGTATACTTTAAGCAGAGCAGGAGAAGTCAAATCAAGTGAGGGCCCTCTTGACTCGCAGATATCATTTCCATCAATTTTTTTTCTTTTTATTTATTTCCATAGTTCATCTAGCTTGAATAGTATTTATTCATATCTCTTCAAAACATAATACCTGATTATAAGAAAAAACAAGTCATATATATAGAGAAAAGGTTTTAAACAAAAAACAGAAGAATCGTAACAGCAACTAATGCCATTAATAATAACACTAGAACAATCGATGGTCCAAAAAAATTAGGAGCCGACTTAGTCTTGATTTCACGTTGAGTTTGAAAGAATCGCCAAAAAGAATATAACAAACAACCAATTCCACAAATGGCTAATATGAATCCAGAAATAATTCCTTTCTTGTCGATGTTTTTACTTGTTAAATTTGATGAACTATTCGAACTACTAAATCGTGCAAGAGCACATCCGAGTGTAAACACAGTAAGACCAGTTCTTATCCAAGCTAAAAAAGTTCGTTCATTAGCCAAATAATTTGTGAAATTTTGATTATAATCATCTGGTATCGATTCTTCCGATTCTTTTTCTACCATTATTTATTGTAACAATATCTAAAATCCAAAAATTATTATTAAGAGAATTTTTGTTTATAACTTTACTTACAAAGTAAGTTGAATTTATAAAGCGCAATATCAATATAAGTGCATTTGCTTTTCGAAAGAAAAAAGGTAATAGATCAATAAGTGTGCAATATAATTTACTCATGCATGACATTGATTAGATATTAGATTCGAAGAGAACGAAACAAATTACTTATTTATAATCTGATTCATGAAATAATAGATAAAAACAATGAGATAGTATGATATGATAATGGAAGATTTATTTCTTATTGGATGAATCTTTTATTAATTCTAAATCAATCGAATTGAAATATTACGAGATGATTTCATTCTATTTATAGAAATAATTCAAAATATTTCGATCATTTATTTATTTATTATTTTTCATATGAAAAGAAAAACTGTTCGCATAATTCTATACAAGATTAAAATGTAAAATATGATGAGAACTTCTGACAATATAAAAGAGGAAAGGTATTCGGTTACATTAAAGTTGGGTGTTCCACCGCGTAATATCATAATATCACACGGTGGAACACCAGCTTTAATGTTACCGTTGTTTTCTCCTTTAACGTATGATCTCAAAGCTTTAACCTTTCATCCCGTAAGAGCCATATAGACGCTCCATATTGTGTTTATAGATAGTCTACGGCCTCATACTCTTATATGACACATATCTTTATACTTCATTAGCTTTCGGTCTTATAGCCTTATATCCCCTTGTAACTCTTGGATTGAAAAACGAATAGGTGAATAAATACTTACTTGATTTTGAAGTGATTATAAACTAAAATAATATAAGCGATTCTAAAAGTCTGAATAAATAGCAAACATGAATGATTTTTTAGCAGTGCTGCAGTTCTATATGTTGTTATAGTAATTTACTTTTTGAAGTTTTATTCAATATATTTCTGAAAAATGTGGATGTCGATCAACGTCATAATCTTAGCAGCTGTATCAATAATTAGGTTCGAGTTTCTTACAACTATAAAACTAAAACTACAATTCAAGTCTAATAAAAAAAACAGATAAAATGACTAATAAATTAGGACTACATTTCAAGTCTTTTGTTAAAAACGCTACAATAGGAGCTCAATCAAGGTCCTAAACAATCTACAAGAATTACAAATTAAAATTAATGAAATTGATGATACTTATGAACATATGAACGTGAATGATATATTTAATGCACTTCACGACAGAATACCTTCTATTAAAACGATTTAAGATAAAATATACTCGATAATACTGCTAATACACCTTTCTAAATCAAGATGAAGTATGCAAGGACTATATTACAAATGTTGGCCGATAGAAACAACATAGAGAATATTTCTTTTCAATCGAAATGACTTTCATATTATTCAAATAAATCAATTCATAAAAGCAATATCTATTAAGATGATGATTAACAAGGTCACGTTGAAATGAAAATTGATAGTACGATTAACATAATTTCGAATGAAATTCTATGTGATATTTTGAAATCAATCAACTGAAATGTTTTTAGTTGAAGCCGATAATTTTTTTGAAAATTTATTATATATAAACTTATATAAAATAAAACTATAACAATTTCATATAAATCATTTTAACTATTAGAGAACTGTTGACTTGTTTTTTTTTTGTTCGAACATTGAGAACAATCTGTAGAAGGACAATGCAGTTTTTCTGAATTAAAACTTATATCTATTTCAATCTCTTATGTCAGATAATGGTATATATTACATTCAGTTTACTATTTTTCTTTCTTTATTTTTCTGTTCTCTATTGTGGTATGATGCTTCCAGTATTAATAGTGTCGTCGGTATGGGCGTGCGCGATAGTCCTATAGAATAGTAAAGAAATAACATATTTTTTTCTTTGTGATTGTGAAATTACATGATAAAGAAAAAAGAACAGAAAATATTGCGTAAATACAATCTTAAATATAAGAGAACGTGATACTAACGCTATCTATTACTTACATTCAAAATACAAGTAAAATGAATGAAAATATTATTCGTAAGTAAAAATTTCAAAAAAAAAATCTGATGATTATTCAAATAATAAATTATTATTTTTTGTTCAGAAACAATCTTGTCATCAACTATTATAAAAAATCAACCATTTCAATCATTAAAATTATCACCAAATGATTGGATCATATCTTCAATTCATAGCATTAGTTGTATCTATTTTTATAATATTCAACAATGGTCATTATATGAAAAACAATCAAACGATATGTTCATAAATGTTGAACGATTAATCTTAAGTTTAAGAAAATTACTTGAATATTATCCATTATTAAATGGTGTATTGAAATTATTCGATGAAGATAATAAAGTATCTATAGTACAAAATGATTCTAAAGGTGGTATTCTATTTGTTTCTACAACAGTTAATATTTCATTAAGTCAATTACCATTATCATTTGAAGAATATACAAATACCAATATAATACCAGCAGAACTTCAGTTAGTCAATATAGTCGATGTTGATACTTTATTGCATGTTCGTCATACTCGATTTTTATGTGGTAGTGTTGCATTTGGTATTAGTTTAAATCATCAAGTTGGTGATGCTCATTCATATTTTCAAATTGTTAAAGATTGGGCACAATTATATAAAAATTTAGACTATCAACCAAATGTTTGCCATCAACGATCACTTCTTGAACTAAATCTAACAGATATTGAAATATTGAAAAAGACAAATCCAAATTTTAACAATCGAAAAAGTCTTTCTGTAAATATAGAAACATCTTCATTAGTACAACAAACAAAACAAATCATTTTGAAAACATTTCGATTTTCAGCTGATGAACTCAATCGAATGAAATCCGATGCTTCTAGTCATTTATCATCTAATGTAACTTATGTATCAACATTTGATGTTCTTACTGCTCATCTTTATCGACATGTAATGCTTGCTCGTAATTATTCTAAATCATCAATTACAAAACTTTATATTTCAACTGATATACGTCCACGTCTAACACAACCATCAATTCCTAATACTTATTTTGGAAATGGAACTATGTTATCTTATTTAGAAATGAATATGACAGAATTAATAAATACAAATTGTCTTGGTTTATTAGCTAGTCAAATTCATAAAGCTATTGAAGAAAATAATAATAATGATATACGAACTACACTTTCTTGGATAATTTGTCAAATAGATAAAAAAAAGATTTTACCAACATGGAATTTAGATGAAACAGATTTTACAATATCAGCTTGGAATAAAATGGGAATGTATTCAGATTCAGATTTTGAATTTGGTGTTTATCCATGTCGAATTTTATTTCCCAGAGATACAAAATATAATGGTGCAGCTAATTTATTTTCAACAGAAAAAAATGATACAAGTATTGATGTAATACTTGGATTAGAAATTAATGAAATGGAACGAATGGAAAAAAACTCGGAATTTAGAAAATATCGTGTATAGATATAAAATAGATCAATAAATTGAAATAGTTTGAAGATTAATATTTTATTTTCAATTTTTTATGCGAAGAAAAAAATCTATTATAATTCGAGTTTTATTAAACATAGAATCGCATAACTATTCTCTCAGTCCTAATAAAAAAAGAAGCATGATCGAAACTATCGTAGAAAATAAAAGTCTCCATCCCAGTCGATTTCTGCCGTTAATCCTTAATTACAAAGAGAGTTACGATGGACAGTATCTATTTTTTTGCTTTGAACATCATAACCTAAAAAAGACTGTCTACAAAATTTAGTGCTGGTTCTTATTGAAAATATGACTAATTCTTGATATTTTTACATCTAGCTGAAGTTTCGTTTACTGTCTTTCTTCATCCAAAAGATAAATTCATTTGCTCGAATATTAATTTTTCTGAATCATTGAAGTTAACAAGATTTATTTCTAAAACTTGTCGATAATAATGTCTAACTGTAGAGAAAGCTTCTCAAACAGTTTGAACCCATTTCATTGGACTATCGCTGAGTTATTGACATCTACAAAGCAGTGGGTAGTTTCTCTTCACAATGATGACTACAGTAATATGAGCATAGTCTTTGAAAGGATTGATGAGCTTCAATGAAATTAGTAATGTAGATAACTGGAGCATAGCATTGCACAATAGGGAGTCATCTAACACAGAATATTCTTCCTTTCCAGAATTATGAGACTGACAACAAAAATAAGTGCCATCCATCATAACTCTCTTTGTAATTAAATAATAATTGCACCGAACTGTTAATGATCTACATTTTCTGTGAAGTACATGCACACAAATTCTCAAAGTTTCAGTACATAAAGCAACTGAGATTGACTGGGATAGAGACTTATATTCACTACTATAAATACGATTCATTTCATTCATGTGTAAATGAACTTTCAATACGGAAGATATTAGAGATCAAAAAAAATTACTACATAGTAGCAAAACTTCTCGTATTTAAAATGATAGATATATTTAGATAAAACGATGTCTTTATCATTCATGATACAATAAAGAGAATTGTTGTCGATAGAGAAATAGCGAAAAATTTAGTTTGAAGTCCCATGAAGTTTTTAAAGACTTTTGGAATTATTTGTAGTTCACGAAAATTTCAGAAGAAAACCAATTAAACTGTTGAGTTTTCAATGATTTTATTTTAGTAGATATTTGAACTTTTATTATTTCGTCAATCTGCCTAGAAAGAAAAGTCTAAGGTCTTTAGAATTCATAAATACATTATAATTAATAAACGAATGTTTTTGCAACGAAGTTATCTATTTCTCTAGAGAGAGATGTTTCATTAATGTAATAAAAAATTTTAACTTAAAAATAGGAGTTCTTCAACATAGGTCTGATCGAATGAAATATATGCACATCAATAATGTTCATTGCATTAGTCTTTCTTTCATCGTTGTCTTGTTACATTGTAACATTTTTTAATCTTCTTTGATTACATCAAATAGATCACTATTAACTTTATTACATTCGATTGGTTTATCTTCATCTTTAGAATTTAATATTAAATCTGAGTTAACCATCGAATAATTATCTGAATTTATATTCAATCTAATACTATCAAGTATTAGATTACTTAAATTATTGAATTCAAAAGCATTACATTTCTTTAACAAAGTTTATATGTTCAAATTACTAAATATTACTTTTTTATGATTCAATGAAACTAAAATTAGCATAGTTTGTGTTGATTGGAAGTCATTATGCTAAGTACAAATACTTAAACACGAGGAAACTTCAGTACGAGAACGTTTGTACTGAAAAGTTAAACACAGCAAAAAGAAAATAAAGATGAATATGACATCTATTGAAAAATCAATGAATGTATATCGGCTGCGCATGTGGATGAGTCTTAGTCTTCTTTTCATTCCCATATACAGCTCTGTACACATCCATACCCTTTAGCATGCTTATCATTCATCAATTCACGTTGATTTTATCGATATTATGCGAAATAGATAAAGAATCAACATTTACTCTCTTTCGAAAGTCTCTTGAAATTTGCGAAGTATCTACGTTCGAAGTCTGCTATCTCTTCCTTGGATCACCCATAATCAGATCCAAGTACAATATTCAACTATCTTTTCCGATATTGAAAAAATATATAGAAGAAAAGATAAGTGAGAGGGAAAAAGATAGTGTATATGATTTTATTATTTCATTATATTTATTAATCACTTTAGATTTAATTTAAGTATTTCACATTGTTCATTCGAACTATGATGTTCAAATGAGATGATAAAGTTCGATAATTAAATAGTTTGACTAGTAGAATTATTTTCATTAAATAGTATATTATCAAACTTTATATTAGATTAAATATATATGTCGAAAAAAAAAACCATTGAAAATTACAAAATTATTCTTTTAACTCTCTTTATGAAATAATAGAAGTAGCCATTTATTAATTTTCGTATTAATTAACGTGTTAAAAACATCTAAAAGAAGTCTTGAATCAAATAATATGAATGTTCTCTTTAATGTCACGTTCAAAGAGTATATTATTTTATTAATAACTTCCCTATATTCTTTTTGTTTCTAACAACTTCTTAAACACGAAATATATCGTGTTTTTTTTTTAACGAGAAAATCGACAATTACCTAGGAAAATAATAATAAAAAAAGAAAAGAACTTTATTTTGATTCATTTTGTAAAATATGCCGTTGCTCATAAATATCACATGTTATGTTACCATATATTTTGGTATTTTTATTTATATATGTGGATGCTTTGGTAGTTTACTTAATATTCATATATTATTTTCAAATCGAAATAATTCATCTACATTTTTATTAATTTATTCATCAATAGTTGATTGTATTGTTCTTAATATTGGTTTATTACCTCGTATTTTTGCTGTAGGTTTTAATACTGATCTTACATTATATAATCTTCTATGGTGTAAAATTAGAACTTATTTACTTCGTATAACATCATTAATACCACTTTATAGTATTGCTTTAATGTCAATGGATCGATTTTTTATTAGTTGTCGAACAGTACGATGGCGACAATTGAGTAATATTCGTTTCGTTCGTTGGATGACATTTTTTGTTAGTTTTCTTATTGCAACTGAAGGTCTCCCATTTTTAATTCTTACTAAAATTCTTCAATCAAATACTAGTATTAGTTGTACACCAATGTATAATCCAATTTTTTCTAAATATGCATCATTTTTTTGTATACCTGTTCTTTATGCTCTACCATTAGTTATAATGATAGCAATGGGTATTTTAATTTATCACAAATTACATAATAGAACTCATCTACGAAGGGCTCAACGTTCTTTAACATTAATAATACTTCTTCGAATATTACTTGCTTTAATATCTTGTGGCCCTTATACATCATATTTTGTTTATTCAGCTATTGTTGTTTTATCTACACCAATAAAATCTGCTGAAAGAATAGCAATAGAAAATTTTATTATATCTCTACTTAGTACTTTTCTTTATATTACATATTCTTCATCATTTTTTGTGCATATTTTTGTATCATCAGCATATCGGAAGCAATTAATGGATTTATTTAAATATTATCGAAATAGACATAGAGCTGTCATTCAACCTGTGCAGATGGTTTTAACAAAATTTACTCAAAATAATGCATCAACTGTCAAAAACAATAAACAGAACAATTAAACTATTTAAAAACTTTTCAATTGATTGTCTATTATTTTGAAAAAAGTTACCTTATATTTTATATAACTTAAGAAAAAAAACGAATAAAACTATGAATGATAATTTCATCCATATTACTCTGTATTTATTTATTTTCTCATGTAAATAAAAATTTATTAGAAATATTGGTTGTAGCAAAGCGGATCTAACAAGATGGGTGATAACTACATCTCTCATAAAATAGGAGTAATAAAGGTGTGATTTTAATGCTAAGACAAATTCTATGATGAATAATAATAATTGGGGTTTAGGACAGTTGCTCGCAGGACAGTTGCTCGTCGGACAGTTGCGCGCGGACAGTTGCTCGCTAGGACACTTGCTCGCTAGGACATTTGCTCACTAGGACATTTGCTCGTCTGGATACTTGCTCGAAAAGGACAGTTACTCGCAGGACAATTGCTCGCCGGACACTTGCTCGCGAATCATATAGTTACAAGAAGGAAAAAGAAAAATTTCTGTACTTCAGCCGTACTTCACCATATTTCAACCGACTTCAAGGGTTTTTTAAAGTTATCTCCGAAATGTTTTTAACTTTTTAAGTCTACCATAGATGTATGTCACAGAAGTACTGGTTTGAAATCATTCGATATGAGTTTATTCTAAATAAAAACCTAAATACTTTACGGTACTTCGCCGAACTTTACGATTTGAAGTATGGTAAAGCGCTGTGGGATCAGAAAATTTTGCTTTGTCTCCTCTTGTATAGCTACCTAGTGGTAATGGGTAGCTGAGGAAAGAGTAAAGAGAAAATCACAGTGCATATTCTTACTCTTACCCTGATGTTAGGTCGGCGACCATCAAAGCGAAAGAAAGAATTCTTGAACAAACAACTGAAAGATCTGGTTCAAAATACACATACAATCGTCAAGAATTATTTAGAAAACGTTCGACGTTTTTCTATGTAGAACTTTTTTGGTTCTTTCGTGCTTTTTATTGTTGGTTGTCGTCCTTAAAGATTATCTTTGTGTCTTATTCATATGTATATAGTGAACTAGTTTTGCAAGCAAGTGTCCGACGAGCAATTGTCCTGCGAGCAACTGTCCTTTTCGAGCAAGTGTCCAGGCGAGCAAGTGTCCTAGTGAGCAAATGTCCTAGCGAGTAAGTGTCCTAGCGAGCAACTGTCCGCGCGCAACTGTCCGACGAGCAACTGTCCTGCGAGCAACTGTCCGTTTCCCTAATAATTGTTGATTTCAAAGATATATAAAAGTTTAAATTTCTTCAAATAAATCAACACTGCAACTTCAGCTTGAAAAATGATAATCTAAATGTATTTAACTAAAACAGTTTGCATGCTTTCTGAAAAAGACCTTGGCTTGCCACTAAGTATTTGATGAAAATATAAATTTTTCAAAAAACAAGCAAATGCAAATGATAATCTCAGAAACAAAGCGTAATGGATTAGCGTCGATGTATATTTATTGAGATTTATCTATAAAGTGAATTTTGCTATTGATGAATTTTCAACATCTAATCGTTGTGAAGATTTTTTGATTTTGTCGTGTAATATTTTGTTTTTACATATACATTTTTTAATCTTTTAATATAAAAAAATGTACGAAGAACTTTAAATGCACGAGCATACTATCTGACTGGCTTCGAAAAACAAAAACTCATACTTTGTAAATAAATAGAAACCATATGGCGGCTTTTCATTTTTTTATATTTTAATTTTCAAAAATAAATAAATAAATGCAGCCATAAAATGTATGTATATGGGTAAAATCATTCGTTAGCGACGTGACATCGTAAACTTGGAGTATGCATATCTCGGCACTATCAACTAGTTTAGGTGTGATTTTTGAATGGTGTACGAGTCTCTATTTACTCTAGATGCTATGAAAAAAACAACACTCTAGAGCTTTGTTCAGAGGAGTTATTAACGAAAAACTAGCGTTAGCGACGTGACACCAAAAAGGACATCAAAAGTCATTTGATATACTTTGGTTTTTAAAAATTTCTAAGTGTTGCACAATTGTCAAAAACTTAATACGCGATACTAGACACCACTCCTAAGGCCACCAAATCCCAGTGTAAAATTATTTTGAGAATGTTTAGGTTTTTAAAAAAATAAAATCTATTTGGCGTTAGCGACGTGACAACTTTGTTAGCGACGTGACTGAGTACGACTACACTACTGATCGAATGCTCTGGTAACGAACTGAAAAGTTCGAAATCGATTCCAAGGGGCTCATATTAATGGTAGGAGGTCCTAGAATAATACTAAGACAAACGTTTCCATTTCCGCTCTGTCTAAGGGCTCTGAAAGGTCGATTTTTTGGAAGGAACTTTTTGAAGTCCGATCTCGATGAAAATTTTACCATATATGCGGCTCATACCCTAGAGCCAATCCTGAAGTTTTCAAGTTTTTTCCTCATTCGGTTCTCGAGATATTCGCTAATTACTTCTTAATTAGTTAATTATT